GGGGTCCCTAGAGAACCCTTTGCTATATATACCTGAATAAAAATCCTAGCTCCCAAAAGGGTAGACGTTAAAAAAAAAAAAAAAAAAAAAATTAAAGGTTTAGTTTTTTCATGTATCTGCACAGTTGTGCACCTTCGTGATCGACCAATCAAAATCGATCATGTGAAAATGTGATCATTACTCATAATTGGCCAATCAAAATTTATTACAACTTATATAAAAAAATTTAAATTTTTTTATTATTTAATAAAAAAAAAAAAAAACATACCGAAACGAACACACACGAAATCGTATCACTACAATGAAACTAATACTAATGCATAACTAAACTAATATACACAGAAAATAAAAAAACAAGCAGCACAATATTGATGATTTCAACGACAAAATTGGCTTAGACAAAGAGAAGTGTTAAGACAAAATCACACTAGAAGAGAGATGTTAGTAAGTACAAAAAAATATATATATATAAACAACTCAAGCGATAAACTTACCTGACTTCAAATACGAAAACGATCACAAAGACACTAAAGGAAATGAGAGAATGAAAATACTGAAGGGAATTACGCCAAAGGGAACAAAGATACTGAAAAAAACAAAGATACTAAAGAGAATGCAAATACCGAAGAGAATGAAAACACCAAAGAGAATGAAGACACCAAAGAGAATGAAGACACCAAAGAGAACAAAGATACTAAAGAGAACAAAGACACCAAAGAGAACAAAGACACCAAAAAGAATGAAGACACCAAAAAGAATGAAGATACCAAAGAGAATGAAGACACTGAAGGGAATATAAACACCAAAGAAAACAAAGATACCAAAGGAAGCAAGATATTGAAGGAAGCAAGGAAATAACTACAAAGACTTTGAGAGCAACGAAATGCACCACTCGTAAAGATGACTAAATCCACTCTAGAAGAAAGAAAAAGTGTGTTAATTTAGTTTAAACAAAAAAAAAGACAAGAAAAAAAAATGAAACCAAAAAAAAAGAAATAAAATAAAAAAGATAAAAGCAAAATAAAAAAGAAAAGCGAAAAAAGAGGAAAAGAAAAAAAAAAAAAAAACTAAAAACAAAAAAATGAAAAAAGAAAAGGTAAAAAAAAAAAACCAAAAAAAGAAAACAAAGAAAAGAAAAAAAAAAAAAAAGAGCAAAAAAGAGAAACAAAAAAGAAAAGGTGAAAGACAAGAGAAATTAATGAAACCAAAAAAAAGAATGAAATAAAAAAGAAGGAAGCAAAATAAAAAAGAAAGTAAAAAAAGAGAAAAAAAAGAAAGAAAGAAAAGAAACTAAAAACAAAAAAAAGAAAGATGAAATGATAAAAAAAGAAAAGATAAAAAAAAATAAAAAATAAAAAAAAAGAAACGAAGAAAAGAAGAAAGAAAAAAAAAAAGCGAAAAAGAAAAGCGAAAAAGAAGAGATGAAAACAAAGAAATGAAAAAAAAGAAACTGAAAAAAAGAAACGAAAAAAAACATGAAAAAAATTAAGTAGCGAAAAAAAAGTAAGTAGTGAAAAAAAGTAAGTAGCAAAAAAAAAGTAAGTAGCAAAAAAAAAGTAAGTAGCAAAAAAAGTAAGTAGCAAAAAAAAAGTAGCGAAAAAAAGAAACTGAAAAAAAAACGAAAAAAAAAAGATGTGAAAAAAAGTAAGTAAAGAGAAAGAAGCAAAAAGGTGCAAAAAAAAGGAAAAAAAAGAAGCGAAAAGAATAATGTACAAAAGTGGCAAGGCAAAAACAGCAAAGCGAAGACAACAAAGCAAAAGTAGCAAAGCAAAAGCAACAAAGTAAAAGCAGCAAAACAAAAATAGCAAAGCAAAAGTAGCAAAAGCAAAAGTAGCAAAATGAAAACAGCAAAAGCAAAAGTGACAAAAGCAATCAAAACAAAATCGGCAAGATTATCAAAATATAAATTTTATTGGCTAATTATATAGAAGTGCATGATCATGCAGGTGCACAAAAAACATTTTCCCTTATATATATATATATATTTTTTTTTTGGTGTTAAGGTGACCCCTTTGGTCAAGTACTTTCATTATTGTATAGACTATTTTTACAACTAGATGATCTACATCTGTCATACATATATTTCTATATACATAATCTCACTACAATACCATTTTAAGTAACTACCTTAGAACAATTTTATTCTTGGAGTAAACCTGCTAGAGCCTTCTGTACCTACAATCCGGCTGATCTAGGCTTCAGTTGATATGCATAGACTGAGGCCTACCACTTGCGGCCCAGTTTTCTGATTGCTACTACACAACCTACTTCTGCCCATAGAGTTTACCCAAACTCCGGTACATACTTACAGACTATTTACTAGTATCCCCAGCTATTCCAAACTACCAATCCAAATAGCCTAAAAGGGCTGTGACCTGCCTGGTCCCCACAGTTGGGTTCTTTTCTTCTGGCGGCCTGGTTGGTGGAGTACCTTGCCAAGCACTTCGGTCCCGTTCAGTTTTTACTAGTTCTCCAAGTATCAATCTGTATGTAGTACCATTGAAGATCTGTACTACCTCTCTATTCGGGACTTTCCAAGTGAGTGCCCCACCACCGTATTGGCCCTGTAGCTTTTTGCGATTCCGAAAGACTTATTTTGGGTTTGCACTGACTAAACTGGCTTGCATGCCTTTGTGTAACTCCTTATATTACACAAATGCCCAGAATTTTCTAGTTTCTAGCAAACCGTAATTGGTATGACTACAGTTACAGAGTCTCGAGTTTTTCTGGCTACAGCATTAGTTACCGAATTCTGTTTTTCTTAAAATCTAATTTTCACTCTTCGTGGAAATTGAACCAATACTTAACCACTTGGGGGTGCGACAACTTGACCACTTCACTAAATCGCCACATCCTTATTTTTTCTTATATTAATTTATTATTTATAAAATTAAACTTATATATTTGAATTCTTATAAAATAAAATATAAATTTATAAGATTATTTAAAATATTTATTTTTTAATAATTAATATTTGAATAATATTAATAAATTATATTTTTATATATATTTAAAAATTAAAATTGCTTTAGACTTTTAATTTTTTTTTTATTTCAGTGATTCTACCTTTATTTTATAAATTAGAAGTAGATTACAAATTGTCCTTGGCTAGCTAAACCTATATACAAATCGCTAAACTATTATATTCCTGTTCAAATAAAGATTCTTTCGATCTGTCTTATTATCATAATAAAAAATAAGGTAGACACTAAATTTTATACTAAAGTATGACCCAGAAGTGATCTGCCTAAGTAAACAATTTTTTTCTTTTAGGATTCTTAACTTTCTGAAGATATAAACTCTAAATATTAACAGATAGCTTTTATTAACCTTGTCAAAATTACTGCTTTACAATAAAATACTGTCAATTTGATAATACTTTTTTGTAGAAAGGGTAAAGTGAAAATAAAAAAAGTAAAAACTAAATATATAAAAAAATAACCAAAATATAAAAAATTAAAAAAACTATTCTAAAATCTAAGAAAACTTGTCTACAGATATAAAAACCTGCTAACTAGATAAAAAACTATCTATATGGTTATAAAAATCTATACATAAAGCTAGAGATAGGAATCAATTTAGTTGACTAAAAAATTTATATATAAATTACTATGTTTAGTCGATTTAGTCAACTAAATTATATAGCTGATTCTTATCTCTATATAAAACTATCTGACAAAAAAAAACTATGAACTAAAATATATTTTAATCTATATTAAGGTCTAAAAATTATATGCATATAACTTTTAATACTACATATCTCTAATATATTACTCTAACTTGCAACACTTATTTAAATCTACTTTGAATTTTAGAATGCTAATTTTAAAGCCTTAATATATTATTATTAGTTCTGTTTGTAACAGACTACTTTTTTCAAAATTCTCTTACAACACTATACAAGATTAAACAGAAGGTCTTTTTTATAATTAACTGGTATTATTGGAAGCTACTTCCTTAGATCCATCATATAAAGCCTTCATTCCTATATAGTCAGTACCGATCTAAACACAGAACTTTTATATACTTTGATTTAACCAAAACAAAGCTTCTTTCTTATATATGATTGTTGTGTTCTTTATTTATCATATCATAACTTGAGACTTTCTAAAAATAAAAGTAGTAAACAATACTGATCTTTTAGAAAAGAGTAGCCAAATTTTCTACTTTTTATTAAAAATTATAAAAAAAGAAAGTAGCTAAAAATATTGTAGTTTTGTGAGCTTTCTAACTAAGGAGTGTTATTCCAAGAGTTTTTTTGTTTTTAAAATAACTTGAGTTTTCTTCTTATTTACTGTTTTCAGAGACTCTTCTAGTTTGGATGCTAAATACAAAAGAGAGTTCATCTGAGACAAAAAAAAAAAAAGGCTTGACTCTTTTGCAAACTATCCAAAACACCTGCCTCTTAATATATCATGTTTAAAGACTTTGTTAACAATAGTTTGTATTAAGAAAACTACAAGTTATTTGTTCACTTCTGATTAGTGCTTCTATGGACCAGACTCAAACCAGACTTTAGTCAAGTCTGAGTCTGGTCTGATTTTCAGACTTTTATATTCAGACTTTTTAGTCAAGTCTGAGTTTGGTCTGGGTCTGGTCTGAAGTCTACAGACTGGTCTGAGTTTAAATATATTTAGTTATGACCACTATGCTAGGGATGTTATCCTGTTTATTCAAACTCAGTTTGGGCCTGTTTGAAACCCAAATCTGTTAAACAAGTATTTCTATAATCATATGATTTTAATTAGGAACTTTTAAACTCATAGTACTCAAATCCGGTTCGAAATCGATTTCTTAAGCAAAATGTTTTTAATTTTTTCAATTATTGTTTTGTTTCTCATTATCGGGATATCACTATGAAGAATATAAATAAGTATTGTCTCTTCTGCTATCAAGCAACTACACAGTCATTTTTGAGCATCAAATTGGCTCTTACTCGTTTATTCTTTTACATTTATAACTAATCATGTGTTTGTTAGTTATTGGCTATCGTCTGACAGGCCAAACTCGACTGCATGACTATTATCCCAACAGGTCACAATTATATTTTCTATTCAAACAAAAAGACATATCATATTGGCTGTTGTCCCGACAGGCCAAACTAAATTGTGTGATAGCCAAACCCTACAAAACTGACTAACCTCAAAATAGGGTAGATTACCTCATACTTATGTTTGATCAATCGATCGAACATGTGATCATAACTGGGCCTATCATATATTCGATCAGATAGTCAATGATTTAAGACAAAAGCTGTCTCGATACTTACGTATCGAGCAGCTATTAAAGTTAATTTCTATAACCAGCTACCACGAGTATCCTCATTACTTCAAATTGTCAGTATGTAGGAAAATGGCGATTATATGCATTATTGGCGATCATGATATAATATTATGTCAAAAAATTTCCTATAATAACTGTCTACTTACGATTAAAATATCGATACAATTATTACATTTGATTAATAAATCATATACTGGTATAGTATAAATAAACAGATCCATATAGTACAGGCTGATTTATAAGCTATACTTATTAAACTTAGAAATTATAGCTAATTAATATCGATATGGTATAGTTTTTAAAAAATTAAGCCTGTGCTATTCAGATCTGCTCACCTATACCATACCAATTCGCTATAATTTTATACA